CTGAATCACAACCACCCAAACAGACCGTACACACCAAAGACAGAAAGACGGATTCCGTTGCAATATATATGAATCAGTTAAAAAATAGCAACCAGAATGCTCAAACTGCGCCATCTCCTCGTACCACAAAAAACAAATGCCACGTTGAGCAAATCTCTGTCAACATCGAAAGAAAACTGGAGGCGCATGGATTATGGAATGTGGTATAGAAAATGCGAAATGAAACATGTTGGCCAAACAGGAATATAATTGGCAGACAGGATACAAGAACATAAAGGAGCCGATGTAAAACATTATGCATCGTCACGAATTTCATTACAGGTGGATGATGAATGGCAAAGCTTCGATTGGACCAAAACAGCAGTTCTGGCAGGAGGCGAACCAAGCAGAACAAGGGTGTTACTGGAAGCTTGGTTCTTCACAAAGAACTCAATCAACATTCGCATCGACATCGATTCAGTATACTAACCACTCTAACAGAAAGAAAGAAGGAAGATTCTATAGTGAAGCTTAAAACAGAGCAGTACGAGGACGCCGACTTCCGTCGTGAGGAAAAAGGGTAAGGCTGACGGGACACAAATCGAGGTTTTTCCATTCAAAGTCACCTGTACGTGGATCAGGAACCGACGATGCAATCGGCAAGGTTACGCACTGTGTCCCACTGCACTGACGATTCGAACTGGCATAGTAGTGTAAGGTTTGTAATCAAACTACTGAGATCATAAAACAAATGATCAACGGAATAATTAACCTGACCTATCAGTTTATTATTGTTATTATTTAGAAGACCTCGTTTGTGTTGTGGACAATGGAGTGTGTATGGAGGATCTGATGGCGCACTTCAACTTCCCGCATAACAACATAACGTTTACTCTCGAACTAGAAAATCGCGACTCTTTGGCCTTTCTAAACATCCAGACCAATAGGGTAGTACACGGGTCAATGCGGAGGAGAATGTGCAGAAAGGGAACTTGGAATGGGCAATACGCCCACTTCCATAGTTTCCTTCCTATCAGCCAGAAGCGTAAGTTAGTCCGTTGTCTCACTGAGGGCGGGACGAATATACACAGAAGACAAGCTTGTTGAGGAGCAAAGTTTCATCCGAAGGGGTTCAAGCGTATTGGATATCCAAAAAGTTCATCCAGAAGCACATGGAGACACAACAAAGTTTCTTCCGCAGAGAAGTGCCTAATATATTTATCGCTACCGTTTAAGGGTGACGCGCTTGCGCAACAAAGCGACCGAAGGCCTACCCTAGCCACTGCCAAAACGTAGTTTGCGGCCGACTTACGTGTAAGCTTTAACGCAACACCAATTGCGCGCCGGCAGCTAAACGACAAGACACTTTGGTCACAATTTGCTTTTTGTGTGTACGATTTCGCTTGCTGGTGTCGAGCAAGGTACATCGGAAAACCGACCAGGCGACTGTCCGTAAGGGCTCAAGACCATTGGCCCGCTTGGCTATACCCGAGTTGTGAGGATGAATGCGACGACTGCAGTATAGTCACATTTTGTGGATAAGCACCACCAAATAAACTCAAAATATTCATTCCAACGACCTACTGTGTGTGTCAGGAGGCCACAAGATTGCTGTCAGATACCGTCTGATGTCGACAGTAGACGCAATCGCATTTCGGCTCTATAACTCGGAGTTGTGGGCACAGAAGAATTTTGTGCTGTCCCTGTATCTACCATGGCTCTGACCTATCATGCCTTTCCACCCGAGTCCACATAGCTAAAGCTAATGACATAGCCTAATTGCTGAGATACTTTGATTTATTGACGCTTATAAACTACGTGTGGATACATAGTTTTGGGTGTATCAACCGGATTATGATCCAATGAAAAAAAGCTTGTTCACTACGCTCCAATTCTATAGTAGATACCTTAAAAGCTTCAAGTTTCACCTCAGGAGATTGGCTTAATAGTGGCCAACATCTGTAAAGTAGTGATATATATATATATATATATATATATATATATATATATATATATGCCCTATGCTGAGGCTGATGTTGCATTCATGATGCTTCTTCACCGCAGTTGGACTAAACCAACTTACACTTAAACTAGGTCTTTGTAATGTGGATAAAATTCATTACCTTTTATTTGGTTTGTTCTGCGTACTTGCACACGTCGCACATGCAAATTGTAGTAAAATTGCGTAATTTTATCGCGTGGTATTTTTGAAATATCTTTCGGACATTTGTACTTATCATGTATTCACCTTTAACTAATTTCTTCCATATGTTCATTTAGCGAGTGTTTATGTAGTCATATGCGTTTACTTTATTCGATATCGGCATTTCGAATGATTGGCTGTTGTTTGACATCCCAGGTGAGGCTGCGCTTGATGTGTATGTTGACAAGGTGCCTATTTGTCTATTACCCACTACCCCGTCCATCTGGCTCCAGGAGACAGTTGGTCGTTGCTGGAGGGGACGGGGTGCACGGTCGTTGTGGTCGTGCTAGGCTCAAAGAGTGGTTCCATGCATTCAGTGTGGAGCGGACTACGGTCCAGCCACCGCCTTGCGTGCACTTGATTCCCCAAATACTACGTGCTTGTGTTTGCTGTGAAGGAGTGTGAGCCGGCTCCGTTGATGAAAGGTGGCTCCCATCCGCATGCCTCCCTGTCTTATTCCTTCGGGTTTACAGTGGATATGGGGTGTGTGGTTGGAGCTGTGGGTGGTGCAGCGCAAGCCATCCATGGTCCCTCTGTAGGCGCAGGCGTCTTGTGGCTGGCCACAGTGACAGACAAATCCGAAACCGGATGCCGCCAACCACATATATATATATATATATATATATATAGTGTGAAGGAAGAGTGGTGGTAAATGAATGGCTCATGTGTGACTGTTGTCTGACACGAATGGTACATAAGCATCATATAAAACATAGAAATCCCAGAAGTATTGATTAAAAAATGAGGGGCTCAAAGGAATAATGGGATGGCTGCGGCAGATGTAGACGATCAACAGTAAGTGACTGAAGACCCAAATTCCCTTTGCAGAACGCTCAGCGCTGTTGCAAGTACTCAAATGGTTACCTCCGAGGAAGAAGAGAAAACTGTTAGCAGTGTAAAGCTAGTGCAAAGAATGATCTAGATTTTAACATTAACGGATTGGACGCGAGGTTAAACGGATATTGGTCTCACTGATATTGACGCGCTTCACTAGTTACCTACAGAAAACTGTTACGCATTTGCTTTTACATCCGTGATAAATCCATTGTTCCAGAAGCATTTAGGGGAATGGCTTGGATGTATCCAGACGGGAATTACGTACCACACCGGTCCAGTGAAGCAGCACGTAAGTGAGCGCTGTTAGTTCCAGTTTATTTTTAATTGCTTCCGGAGTAAATGAACTATTACTACACCCCATATTACTTAATGTGTACACTTTCAATCCCCATTTCATACCATCGTCAATTCGGTAGACTTTGAAACTGAAGATTCTCTTACGTTTACTTCTTTTAATTTCTACTCAAATAATCTTATGGCACATGTGAAATACCTTCATTTTACCCATTGTAAATCATTGTTCAGTATAAAGCGAACTCTGACACAAACAGTTATAACAGTTCCCTTTAACTTCTGCACAAAACTTGCAAAATATGCACCCACATTAAACACCATCTTCACAGAGCTTTTTTCTTAACTCCATCTCTTCTTTGTCGAAAAGACAAAGTAAAAAGCAATATGTGCTCACACGAAGGCATTTGGTTCGTCTGTAATTCATCATGCAGACAGATATTAGGTGAGCAAAACGCTAGTATCCAAGAAGTGTTCAATACATATCAGTGAGTTTCTGTCTGCATTTAGCTTATTCTCTTGTTGTTCCTCTGCCGCTAATTAGTTACTTTTTGTTCATGTCGCTAGCCTGTGCTATTGCTGAAAATGTTCCCGTCATGTATGCATAAAACTACATTCTTGACTTGAGTTGACTTGATTCTATAAGCCAGGAATTGTGCCAAGTTTTAGCCTCAGGGCAAGTAGAGTAGATGAAGATTCCGTGAGTGAATAAACACAACCTGTTACGGCAACCAGTAATAAAGCGTCGAGACCAGTGACCTTAGCTCAGTTCAGTCACCGGTTCGAATCCGCGTAGGGGTGGGCGTCCTCGCGGTATACTCAGCCCGCGCGCGACTGGTGGTGGTCGGGCGGCAACGAAGCGCCGTTACGGTGTACAGCTGACACATTGTTATTACATTAGTTCAGTTCAGTGACCACAGTATGGGTACTTGCAGGAGCTGATCAGGTGAAAGAAAGCCTAACAGAGATGGTGTCTTGTTACGAGCTGTATGCTACTCTCATTTTGTTGAAATTCACTGACGAAATCTCCCACAGCGACTGTAAACTCCTACAAAAAGAAATGCAGTCACGATTACACCGAGGAAATTCGGGATAATAACAATTACACCCAATTCTCGAGGACTTTACTGTAGAAGAAATCAACCTAACCAGCTACATTTATAGACACGTGCTTCTATTCATCTAGGGTGCTTTAATGGCTTTGAAAAAAATGCTATTCATCAGTGAGTAAATGGTTTTAACAAGCTAATGAGTGAACGTAGTGTTCATAATGTATGTGAAGATTTCCATTCGGGAAAGTAAAATATTGGTCGAAGATAACATCAACTGGACCGTCGCGATGTCATTCCCTAAGCAATACTCTTCGCTGAGGACCTTAAAGGGATTTTTAGATAAAGAGGAATATTTGAGTTGACGGAAAACCTCAACGATTAACTTTATCGTGCGGCCATATGCTCTGCTCAGAGGTACCGAACTTTGTGCAGAAAATATATTGATACTTTTTGTGAGGGTTAAAGCAACTGTGCGGCAAGGTTGATCGGGAACCTCACTTACTTATTCAGTTCAAGTGACTTGATGGATACCGTCTCCTTCTTAGGAAGGACTCCAGTACCGACGTAGAGAGAGAGAGCACTCAAACGTCAGTTGAAGTCCGAATGCGATTAATCGTTACAATATTATTGACGCATTTTCCTGTTAACCAAAACATATTTGATGGCTACCCAGTCTACATTTTGGCGCTTTGGATACACATAGACAAGTGGTGTGATCCTGCTACGGAACAGATGTGCAGTGACCGCGACCTCCTGTGTAATATGTTAGCAGTTATGGGATACTATTAACAAAATAACATTGTTGGCGACAGTTGAGGCGGCACCTGTGTTGTTGCGACGAACTTGCAACAGCATTCTGTCCTATGTTGCGGCGAAGGGAGCACGGGCGTTAGTTACATCGTGTTGAGATTTATACCCAGTGACATCCACGTAGACTCCGGCCTGTTTGTCGAATGAGTTGACGTTAGCACCACTCTTGTAAAAATTGTTTCGAATGTTGGGGGGAGAGTGGATAATCTTAACAGGTGATCTATTCTTAACTTCAATTTACCCGCCCACATGAAATCAATATGAGAGATTTGTTACTTGACGCCGTCTGGTCTGATCAATCAGAACTTTAGCATTTACCAATTGGGTTTATGAACAGTAATGAAGTAGGTAATTCTTGTTCTCCACAGCAGTGATGTCAAGCATAACTCATCTAATCGGAAAGTCCGACCCTATTGCAATGTAATACGCGAAAGCAGGCAGCGATAATATAAACAAAGCCAGATTTTTACTTCATATGCGCGTTTCCAACATCGCTTCGGGAACATCTGACTTTACTCCAAATAAGATGCAACCGAATGGTCGGAGGAATCGTTGCGCAAATTTTACCATTTGTATGATATCCTAACCTTGAGAAATTATAACATTTGAAGAGTTTGGAAACGAGGACCGAAATATACCGGCATATTTCGCGTCATGTTGTACCAGGGAAAATAATATGCATGGGCGTAGCTTATAAATCGGAAACAAAACCCTCTCCGCTCTCCTTGGGTTTGTTTTTGCTCTCACTAAATTCCTATTGATAGCTGTGGGCTTCCAGATTCGTTACTGAGGTTTGTTCAGATGAAATTAGATTCGAGGGTTTCACCACAAAACGAACATCTGTGCTATCCATATCAGGCATATTTGTCGGATGGACTGCGGATGTGTAAGGGATTGACGTTTGGCCCCCAGTCGACTGTTGAAGTGCGACTGGCGGATGTCCAGGGCAATTAGCAGAACACAGATGGACTTTTGGAGCGTCTTCATTTTCACCATAACCAACGGGTGTTGAGGTGCGTGAGGTAGATGATGATGACGAAGAAGAGGAAAAATCGAGGTCGGATGCCAGGTAATTCTCTAGGGCAATATCGGGATACACTCCACAGCAATTCACTTTCCGCCGACCCATTGCCGAGTTAATGACAGTCCCCGCTGACCACACGATTCTGGAGCGACGTGCTGATCCGCTGTAGATTTCGGAACCATGTGAGCTAATAGACGCATCTGGTGTGTTCAACGCTCGCAACAGTAGCGGCTGAGAAAGGAAAGGGAATGCGTTGATTATTAGAACATAAATATGCCTTGTACTCCCCTTGTATGCGAATTGATATCACATAAATATGTATACATGTTTAGTTCAATTGGGCTGAATTGTGTTGGCTCTAGTGACTTTACACGACGATATTTACTTAACTAGGCACCATATAGATTGGAATATAGCTCTGAAACTGGACGGCGTCCGGTTCGGTCCCAAGATTATACAACGATGTATCTCAGTAACCACAAAGCAGTCAACTGTTTCGTATTGAATAATGCTTGCTCTATCAAATCCTTCTGTTGTGCAGTTGTAATATATTGAGCAACTCTAACTCGTTGCTCTTCAAGTGGCACTGAGTGCGGTTGCTTAGTAGTTGTTCATCTGGTAAGTTGAACCATACCTGGACTCCTGACCCTAATCTCGTCTGGATGGTTTAATACTAACTTGCTCTTTTCATTTTTAGACTTTGTACAGAATACTTTAACCGCTATTTCCTAGCATGGTGACAGGTTAAGGCATTTGACTTCTTTGAAATACTTGTTGAAATTTTCAAATTGTCACTGCATACACAATGTTTCTCTGTTTACTCTGGTTATGCATTGTACACAGCTGCAATCTGATACTGATACTGTAGTTAAGAGCAAGTAGAAAGGTTTCTGTACAAGTCTATCGAATTACGAAAAATCAAAAACATTTAGTTGTGAATCATCAGCGGTTGTGTCTGGTCCGTTAATCGTTTATCCTGGTTCAGCTAAGAATTTGGATTAGTGCCATTATTTCCGGGCAAACCATGTCTTCTTTTGGCATTTTATGTGCATTGTTTCACAAAAGCACAAGTTTCCGAAATAATCGTCGATACGGGTTTTAAAACACTTCACAGAATCGGCCTCTATTAATCCTTCTGGTAGTGTATTCCATAAGTTTACGATTCTTCCTTCGATACAAAGCTGATGTGATACTTTTTTCATGCTGGGGACCCTGAGTTTGTAACAGTGTCCTCGGGTGTTACAGGGTTCCCGCAGGTGAAATATTGGTCGCAGTATGGGGAAGTGATTTAAGTGTAGTACTCGATGGGTCATAATAAGGTCAATTCTTACTCGGCGGTAGGATAGTGTGTAGAGTCCGAGCCCTTCACAACGTTTTTCATACGGAAGCATTTGTAGACTCCGTATCATTCTAGTTGCGACTTGCTGTATTTTCTCTAGCTTTTCATTTTCCCATTGGGTTATCGGATGGTAAGCTATGGCACCGTATTCAAGAATTTGTCTAATGAGTGAGGTGAATAGACGAGGGACGGTTTCTTCGGACCATGTGGAGAAAATGCGTCTTAATGCCCAGAGTATACGATGTCCCGCACGGTACAGTTTCTCTGTATTTTCTATTTAATCTCATATCATGTCGTGAGAGAACTCCTAAGTCTCTGACAGATGTGTTGGGATGGAGCAACTGGCAGTCCAAGGTGTATGATCAAGTGGTTGGACGTCTAGTGATACTGATGAACTCCGACTTGCTTGCCTTAAGAGGGAGTTGCATTTCAGTGGACCAGGCTGAAAGTCGCTCTAAGTCATGCTGGAGGCGAGCGCAGTCATCCTGGTTCTTAATGATCCTCCAGATTTTCAAATCATCTGCAAACAGGGCACATGGTGACTGGAGCTGCTGCGGAAGATCGTTGATATGAATAATAAATAACACTAACCCAATTACAGTTCCTTGAGGCACGCCACTAGTCGATGGGAACCAGTCTGTCAGGTAGTCTTTGATCTGCACTCTAAACTTTCGTCCCACAATAAACTCGTGTTGCCACTGAAGTAACGTGCCACCGATTCCGTATGTCTTCAATTTACCAAGGAGTACCTCGTGGTTCACTCTGTCAAACGCCTTACTAAAGTCAATGTACACCACGTTAACATCCTTCCGTTCGTTGAGAGCTCGTACACACTGGTGGTTTGCGTACATCAAGTTAGTGATGCAGGATCGCCCTTGCGTAAATCTGTGTTGCATTGGCGTCAATACGTCCAACGATTCGAAGAACGACAGCAAATACTTTTCCACAACCTTCTCGAGAACCTTGGATAATACCGAAGTCAAATAGATCGGTCTATTGTTCTCTATTTTACTCGGACCACCACTCTTGGGAAGTGGTCTCACTATCGAGCATTTCCAGTCGTTTGGGACAGATCCTTCAGTGAGCGATTTTTGAAAAGGTTTGTCAGGGCTGGTGAGATGATAATCGATAAGGACTTGAGTATTAGTGGGTGAAGTCCCTCTGGTCCGGGGGCTTTGCACCATCGAGTTTGCGTGCTTCTGTAGTGGGATTCAATTAAACATACGGATCGTGTACTTCTCCTTAGAGACATCGACAGTAGGTCGGCACAACGGACCGACGCTTCGTTGCCACGCCACCGACACCAGTCGAGCTCAGACTATATGTACTATTTAATCGCACGCGTCTACACAGATTCGAATCGGTGACCACCGGTTTAACAAACAGATGCCTTATCACTGGCTTACGACACACTTAACTGGATTGCCACAGGATGTCCAATACGAAAGTTTTACTTCAAATGAGAGGTGCTCCATTTCCCAGGAACGTGGAAACTGATACGCAGTCGAAAGCGCGAATTCTCTACGCAACCCTTACGTTAACTCGCGCACATGTCGAGTTTGCTCTTTTGATGTAAGCGGTGGGTGACTACGATGTGAATGTAGACCAACCACCCTCAAGCACAATGTTGACACTACAGTGTGCCAGATCATGAGAACCAAAAACCCCGTTAGCCGTCAGCTGCTGGCACTGAACCATGACAACAAGATGAGAGATCATCAGTTAAAGCTGACAGTACATATTATCCGGCTGGAATGCCGTCAAATGTTCTTTTTGCTCCGAGAGTATCAACCATATAACACTCTTGCAAATTATGTTGTTGTATCTGCCCCCAACCAAACGATTTTTAAAAACGGCTGAATACGCATTGTCTCACTCGCATTTCATTTTGGAACTAACGCCCCCTGGAGGCTACATAACGCAAGAAAACCGTGTTGTTAAAATTCTAAGCAGCTGGCTTTAAACATGTTATCATTGGAACATCGCGCCTTTTTACGCACGTCCTAATAGGAAAACCATGGTGATTCCATGAAAACACTTCATTCTATCAACATAATTTCTTTTTCAAACGTTTCAACCCACCGGAATTGCTAAGCAATGCTTTCTAACCCGTAAATATCATTGTCCCACTGTTCCATTCGTTGCACGGAACAGCTCCTTGATGTTCGGGGGGAGGGGGAATAAATTACCAAATAACGATTCGACTATTAAAAACCCAAATTTCGGTCAATGTTTGACGCAGTTAGGGCATCCTTTCACCTTTCCCATTGGTGAGTAATTACCTGTGCCGATGCTGCACGACCCAATATTCATCAATACATAAATTCCATGATGGGTACTCTGTATCCGCCGTCTCGAAACATTTGCACACCTCTGTGGTACAGTTACGCAAAGCCATTTAGCGGCTTGCGACCGGAAAGTTATGTGGCAGTCGTCGCATTCTCCGGTGACCTCGCGCTCTTACGAACCAGAAATTGCAAGTGGTTTTGTTGGGTTTAACTTCAAAACTTCCCGAAGGTTAGAACCACCGTTCAGCGACAGGTTGTGTGGATCGTAGCCATCTGATTTCAGCGGTCATAAATTTCATCCAGCGAAAGCATCTGGTTTTTCATATCACACTCTTGGAATTAAAACTTGTAACACAATGTAATTGCTTATACAATAAGTTGGGCTCTTTTTACAAACAAGTTCATATAGTGCAGTTATTCGGAAATCTTTAACAAATATTCCGAAAATCTAAAGTCTGCAACGAACGATGTCGCTATGGCAGATTGGTGTAATTATCGAATAGTAAAAATAATCGCCGATTTTTACTCCTCCAGGGAATACAACAGCACGGTTAGTGGAAAGCGTCTTTGTTGTTTTTTTTCAAACGGTTGCTATTGCAGAACTCTGCATTTGACAGTGAATGTCGCTGAGTCTAAATAACCTTATCTTCAGCTGGACAGCAAATATTTGAAAGATGGCATAATACTGGGGAAAATGTAACAAAGAACGTGGACCGTACACAATGGGTGTTGCGTCCGCCAGAGGCCGGATAGTGGAAATAAATAAACAAACCATTTATTCCCCCACTGTGCGATGCGCAGTCCAAATGAGTTGTCTGATCAGTTTGTACATTGAGATTGCATAAAACAGGCAATTGTTCATATTTTAAACAGTGGATCGCAGCATGACTTTTGAAGAAATTATCAGTTTGGAGGTATTAGATAGAGTAGGAAACTAGGAACAATAGCAAATGCAGAATTAAACAAATGTTCACGTAAAGTAATAAGGTCACCTATGAAATTTTCTCCAGAGGACCGGCTTCCATGCAGTGTATTCCATGGAAACATTTCACCCACACTTCCATGCTCTTTCTGGCTCTGTGATGGTGTGGCAAAATGGCAAGTTGGCCGTCACCCGTTTACTGTTTTTAAGACCATATAGTAGGTATCATTCACCCAGTCTAAACAAGGTACTTCATTGTGTATGTTAGTGAGATGACAATTCGTTGTACTTCATAAGCAAACACTCCACTGAGTCAGTCGCAATACGCCTTGAATGAGTATAATATTTAGCTTGAAAGCTTTATTCCGTCTGCTTATGAAATCTACCCAGTCGTGGCCGACCGTGAAATAATGAGGAATATACCGTATGAAGAATTAACAATGTTAACAATTACAATCATTTGCAAGTAGGCCAATCACAATTAGCTCGCAAAGCTTGGAGAGTGAGGATAACTGTACAGAGACTTTGAGAGAAAGGGTAATTTACAGGGTCTGCCTAGGTGCGGGTGTTTATCCATTATCCTTATTCTGCGCACAGCCGGTGGTGGTCGCGTGGTACCAAAGCGTCAAGATTGTGTACAGACCTACAGGTTACGTTTGCTATCAGATGGTTTGGCTGAGAG